CTGCCGCAATAGATTGCCTGCAAACAAATACAGATGCTCTACACATATACAGCGATAAATTATGCAGTAGAAGCTTTTTTTCTCTCACATGTGAGACTGGCTTGAATCGCCAGCTGCAGCAAGGTGCGATGCAACAAATGGCAGACGGCTTCCTCCCCAGCAATCCCAGGCCCTGAGCTGCTGCGCCCGGGATGCCTGGAGACAGGAGACAGAGGTTAGCGTCTTTGGGCGAAAGCTTGCGTTGGCTTTTTAGATTCAGTGGAGCTGGTGAAAATCCTTGAATAGGGCGGATGTTCTCCCGTTACAGTTGAACGCAATGCGCAATCTGCATTGCCGCCTTGCCGTTTCTATTGCTCTACCCCAGCGGTGTGTCAGCGTTGGTGCAGTGTCAAACCGTTTTACTTCTAAATGACGGTTTATTACCCTCAAATATCCACTTAACAATTTTTGCATATAGAGCCCTTCACCCCGCTACGCCTCCGCTTCTGTACTGGGCGAGCCTCATCTGTTCAGCAGGAAACGAGCAAATGTTGTAGCTTTAACAACTTCCACATTACCAATCAATACATCTATATTTGTTTCTTGCAATAAGATTCCCGTTCACACTGGAAATCAACTCGGCCAACGCTCACGAAAAACTTCAGTGTATATGCGCAGCATTACAATGTTGAGCGGGAGTAACATATCGAGTTCACATAGCATAACCTAAAGGTGGTATTGTTCAAATAAAAACAAATCCAACAATGAAACCGTATTCTTCAACGGTTCCTGCGTAGTGAATATACCTGGGGTACACTGCGACTGCGCCCAGGGGTATGCTGGCAATGACAGTCGCGACCGTCATCATGAGCCGCACAGCGTCGACGGGACAGAGATATTTCATTGAGATAAACTTATAATCGTAAGAATAGGGTTTTANAGCCGCACAGCGTCGACGGGACAGAGATATTTCATTGAGATAAACTTATAATCGTAAGAATAGGGTTTTATGTCTTCTAATTTACGTAGTTGTGGCTTACAGCGTAAGGACGGGGATTTATCTGTTATGGTCAGTTTAGGAAACGCATGTAGGAGCCGAGCTGAGCTTGGCTCAGCCGTTTCGGTACGACCTGAGCCATCGTGCCTCGTCGCTCCCCTCACTGTACCTGGTATGTTACTGAAGAAAGCATACTTCTTACAATACTTTAGCACTTAAACACTATCTAAGGCGATTATTTTCAGATATAGTGGTAGCCGAAAGGAGCTTATTGCCGCCTTGCCACTTTTTCCTTCTGCAGCGGGCCATCGATTACGGGGCTGAGCGCGCAAACAAGGGCGGTACCGTTGGCTGTGTTGGTTAAGCAACTGCATGAATTCTTACGCATATTCATGCCTTTGCAGCATGAATGCGAAAGACCTCCGTATTCGCCTAGGGGGAGACTGCTCTCGTCGTAGTGGGTGTTAAGCGGAGGAGTCCGTGGGAGTCCCCGATGGGTTCTCTTGAGCCCAACTGCCTCATTGGGCCATTCATCACTCCAGAGTTATCATTCGAGAAGGTGGGGCCTTGCGGGCTCGCGCTGCTCAGGCGTTCGGCNCCTGGATGAATGGAGCGGCAATCCTCTAGCAATATGCTAACGTACAAGCTGCTAAACAACTGGCTGGCTGGAGAAAAACCGGGAAGGCCTTGGATTGCCCTCTAAGACGCAAAGGCACCCATTGCGGGTGCATGGGCTCCCTTGGCTCAAGCGTTACAGTCATCGCTGAGGCATCCCAGGCAGTGTAACTACTTGTGCCGTGGCTTGTGAGCGCCTCGGTTGCATACCTTTTCACGGGTGTCTTGATTGCTGTAGCGAAGATGGTTTTTTGTAGATTTCTGCCACTTCCGGTGCTTCTCAGTGCCGGCCTAGCCGGAGTTGGGGCCATGGACTTGCACGAGCAAAGAATGATGGAGGCACCTTCTCTTCTTCGAGGTGGCGCCTCGTCAGACGAGATCAAGGTGGTTACGGTGCCAGTTGACGTTCTGCACAGCGCACAATTCTCAAGTCTACTGGACGCTTACTTGGAGGACACGGCGCTTGAGAGGGCACTAGGGGAGTGCCGTCTTTGGATAGATGTTGGGCGGTTCAGAGGCAAACAGACAACTACTGACCCTCTGCCTCCTGCTCCAGATGCGACAGAAAAAGGAGAGTTAAAGGAAGGTGCTTCCTCTCCCAAGCACAAACCGATGGCTAGTGCAGAAGAGGAACCATGTACATCTCTGAACAAACAATTT